GGATACTAGCGGCTGTCCGGCAAACTAAAATTTTGCCGGACAATAGAGTACCGGATTAGAGAGGTTTAACCTGTACTGTAATTGTTACTTATTTTTATATATTTGTATTAATTTTATTACTATTAATATTATTATTATCATCATCATCATAATTATTATTTTATTATATTTTAGTTCTCCGGTGAATCATGACTTTTGCAGGGCCTCCCAGACAAACCCCTCAAAGTCCATATCCTCACTGTCTCTATCACTATCACTGACTTGGGCTGGCTGTGGTTGTGGTTGGTTGCGGGCGAGGAAGTCCTCAATACTACGTTGACGACTAGCATTGATGTTGTCGAGATAGATCTGGATATACGGCTCCATAACTTTCGACAGAAGGTTATTAGACACTTCATACCGATGCTTGACTGGGTCGTTGTCAAGGATGAGCTTAATTTTCTCCCCAACTCGATGATTTCCTTCACATTATCATGGCTTGGTCCAGGTAATTCAAGGTTTTTCTCGGGTGCTGGGGGTCCCGCGGAAGCCATTGTGAGGGGAATAGCGGGCACAAGAGAGAATTGTATACGCGGACCGAGAACAATGAAATAGGCCCGGCTAGGTCAGTGACTTCTACCCTCTGGTGGCAGGGCACGTCATGTTACATTAGACCAATCACAGCTAGCAGCGGATGGAATGCGTGGGTGGTAAGGATGCGTAGCCCAATCACAGTCCGATACGTCATATGACGTCAGCTATAACGTAAGAGCGGCCTAATGCGCACCACTCACCGAGCCGCTTCCCGCATATGGTCAAGAATGGACCGCGTGAGTAAAAAATGGCGCGGCGGTCTGGACCTCTTCAGCCGCTCGCCGCGTAAATGATGAAATTTACCGCGTAATTAAAACATTTCATTCTGGCAAGGCAATACGTAATTGACCAAATGCGTAAACAAAAACCGCGTAAATCCAGACTATACTGTATTTACATTCATTATTTCAAACAGGAGCACCTAGGAAGTTTATCAGAAATCTTATACATGAATTAACTGTTAAACTCTGGTAACAAATTCACGCTTTCGGAAGACGGATTTATTATATACAGGTACTCATCGACTTACTACCTACTTGACTTATGACCGCCGCAGTCGTATAAATTATTTTTCAAATTACGTGTTTTCTAGTACCGAAACGTTTCCGTCCCGTATGACAGCGTGGGCTGGGCCGCCTCGTGGTGTACAGCATCCACGCCGTAGCCCGCTCACTTGGTGTTTGACCGTTGTTGGTGTTATTGATCGCACTGTGTACTGACAAAATTTTTGTTTCTAATTCCCTTTAAAATGACTGGCAAGCGTAAAAGTGGGAGTTCTGGTGGTGCTCAGAAGAAAAAGAGACAGTCAATTACTTTTGAAATGAAAATAATAATGCAATATGAAAATGGAAAAACGGTAGCAACCATTTCACGCGACCTTGGCTTATCACTCGACGATATCAACAATTCTGAAGGACAAGGAACGAATTCGTGAGGTAATGAAAGGATCAGCACCTATAAAGGGAACAATAATAATGAAAAAAAGACAAGGTCCTATTCATGACATAAAAAATTACTTGTGGTGTGGATGGAAGATCAGATACAAAAGCCTGTACCCTTAAGCCTTCTAACCATACAGGCTAACGCAAGAAGCCTTTTCGAAAGCCTGAAAGAGTAGGCAGGAGATGAGTGCGACCAAAACTTCACAGCAAGTCATGGGTGGTTCCAAAGGTTTAAGAACCGTTACAGTTTGCACAGTGTAAAGGTGATTGGAGAGGCAGCAAGTGCTGATGTGGGGATGTAGTTGGTTTCAAGGTAAAACCCTTCATGATATATCATTCAGAGAACCCAAGGGCTTTTAAAAATGTCAGCAAGCACACACTGCCAGTGTTTTATCGAAGTAATAAGAAAGCATGGATGACCCTAGCACTGTTTGAGGATTGGTTCCTGAGTTGTTTCATTCCACGAGCCAAAGAGTATTGTCTGCACCAAGGGGTTGCAGACAATGCTCCGGGACACCCACCACACCTGGACGACCTGCACCCTGATGTTAAAGTAGTCTACATTCCACCTCACACTACCTCTATCATCCCACCCATGGATCAAGGTGCTATTACTGCTTTTAAAGCATATTACAGTACGACCTTCGCTCAGGCTGTTGCTGCTACTGAAGGTGAGAAAACGCTCAGAGAGTTTTGGAAGGACTAAAACATTTTGAAATGTATAAAGAACATAGCTGCAGCATGGGATAAGGTTACAGGTCAGTGCATGAATGGAATTGAATTGAACTGAATTGAAACAGTTTATTTAGCCCAAAAAACACAGATACAGAGTGGTTATTAATAATAACATGGCTGAGCCAGTTGAGAACCTGAGCTCTCTTTTAGGCATCTGATATACACTATGCATTTATCTCAAGAAAGTATTTTGTAACATTTAGGAACATCTAGAAGAAGGTCCTGAAAAGATATGTGAACAATTTCAAAGGATTTAATGAAGATGAAGCAATTTCTGAGATTAGTAACAAGAGAGTGGAGTTGGGTAAACAGCTGGAGTTAGAAATTGATAATGAAGATGTCGAGCAGTTGGTTGAAAGTGTAGCAGAAGAGCTAAGTAACGAGGATCTTATTGAACTAGATGTACAGAAAACTGCAGAGGAAGAAGAGAGACAAAATGTAGAAGAACCTGCACCCCCCAAAAAATTTTCAGTGAAACAAATGGCAGAGGCATTTGCAACTGTATTAATAAGGGGATGCAAATGTTTGAAGAAATGGATCAAAATGTTGAGCGTTTTGCAAAAGTTGACAGAATGATCCAAGATGCACTTGCTTGCTATAGGGAGATTTACAATGAAAAGAAAAGGCAAACTGTGCAGTCTAAATTGGACATATATTTTAAGAAGTCCCCCACTGCTGTCTCCTCACGCCCCACCACTGCTGCCTCTTCACTCCCTGAAGATGATCCAATACCTTCAACAAGCAAGTATGTTAGCCTGCCTGAAGAAAGCGACATTGATGACCCACCCAGTCCAGTTTCCTCCTCTGCTTCATCCAATTAATGTAGTCTCCATGTTTAATTAAAAAATTATTGAGGCCCAGTGTGCATTCAGCTGACTACATAAAAGGTATGTGCACAGTAACACAATATCCATTTTTCATTATTGATTACTTTTACTGTACCGCATTTCATTTTAGATTTTCTATATATTATTTTCGCCTTTTCGACTTACGACCTGGTCGTCGGTCCGGAACCCCGTCGTAAGTTGAGGAGAGACTGTACGAATTTTCACATACAATAAGGTATACTAAAACAAATTACGTATCAGTAAAACTAGATTATGCAAAAACTAACAATTTTAAAAGATCAGAATCACACTGAAATATTACACGGCCCCTGAAAATTGGTGGATGAGTGTGACAGACTTGGCCGCCCAAGCGAACAGCCGTCAGCAGAGGCAGGAAATATAACTGTGAACAACTTCATCTTTCAGTGATTCTGAACTTTTAAAATGTTAGTTTTTGCATAATGTAGTTTTACTGATACGTAATTTGTCTTAGTATGCCTTATTGTAAGTAAAAATTTGTATATAATAAATGCGTCCTCCAAAAGCGTGAATGTTACCAGAGTTTAACAGTTATTTCATGTACAGTATAATACTTCTGATAAACTTCCTACGTGCTTATGTTTGAAATAATGAATGTACGGTATGTATCTTTATATACGGTAATTTAGCTAAATATCTTTCTTGTCAGAAATGGTCATCCCAACAATTATGAATGAACTCATTTAGAAATACATCATTACTTCAGCACGAAATCGGACAGATTTGCAACAGCCTATCAGCTGTAACTCTTGAGGAGGGGGCAGGGCATCTTTTCTCACCTGGGAAAAAATGCACTATAGTATATCTCATTAAACCCCATGTTATAATGCTCCATATCTACAATAATTCGCCTAGCGATGGGTTTCTCAGGAACGTAACCCCATCGTATCTTACAGTACCTGTATAGGTAACCCCGATATACATAAGCTCAATATACAAAAAATTGTTTTAACGAGTCATATTTTGACACCTCTAAACCAAAGCAAGCAATCACTTTAACAAACAGTAATCCACTTTGACCCTTTTCCTCTAAATAACACAAATTTCTTTAAAGGAAAAAATCAAATTGCAGAAACAGAACTACTTTTGGCTGTCACACAGACATGGTCACAACCCAGGTTGTACAGAGATGCATACTGTATATATATTGTATGCTCTACCTCCATCCATGCATGTCACCCCTCTTGGCAATGTCACATAGTTTTCTTTCACTGTATTCACGTGTCTCCTGTACTTTCACACCGGGCCTACATAAATCAGTCAAGTCCTTGATTTATCAGCCTCTACTGTTGACCCTTCCCTTCAACTTTGTCTTTAGTAATTATGGTAAAAAAGAGAGAAAGAAAAAGAGAGACTTATTTTCAATGTATTTGTTCTGTACTATTATTTTTACAGAATGTATAGTGGTAAATATTGTTGACCAGAATTTTCCCCACTCTGGAACATAACCCCAGATAATACGTGGGTTCTACCTTTCAATACTATATATGGTATGTTTTTTTTTCACTTAACATACAGATTTCCAAGAACACAACCCCCCTTTTCTATGTCAAAGAATGCCTGTACAAGTATATTATACTGCACCAAAATATGAATTAATTAAGAAACATCAGATATATATCACAATATAATTAAAGAATGATTCAGAAGCCATTTTATAGTCAAGTCAAGCCAAAGAGACTCAATCAGGGTATTGATCGATGATTTAAACAATTACTGTACACTGTATTACGTACAAGTCTCCCATCCCAACCCTCACCTGGGGTCTAGGGGGCAGAGGTTCACCTCTTAAGACTTGAGAACTGATTAAACACTTAATCTAGCAAAATTACTGTCACTTACATCTTAATTTACGAAAATCATTATGCATAGTAAATTGTCTTACCTTAATAACTTGTTAAGACTTGAGATCCAATTATGATATCAATATATATGTGAAGCTAAACCACTGTACTGTACACTGAACTTGTATTAAAGCCACTGATAAATGTACATTATCAATGTTGTTTATCTTGTTAAACTCTTTCCCTCACAGCCCACTTATCAGAACTCACCAGCAGGATCTGATAAAAAAAGAGAGATTGATAAGGAGTCATTCTAAGAGCAGAGAACCAACACCCATACAATATGTACTGTACATCAAAATTGACTTCCTTTTCTAAGACACAAAACTCTCCATTATTTATATTTTTTATTAAAGTGTTAATTATTATGGAAATAAAATCATACATAAAGAGAACACTAATTTATGTTGGCTGCTACTTCTACAGCTCATTCATTACTCACAAACAATTAGCAACTTTAGTGTATAAGATGATAACTTTCTTATTCAATTTTATAATGCCCTGTACTCCGTATTACTGTATTTTGGTGATTTTCTCATGAGGAGCATTTCATACACATGGACTCTTCCACACAGGAACAACTAACCGGCTGCCAGTACAGTTACATTATATAATTTAGCTGGATAAGATGAACCCACCTGGTAACATTCAACAGCTGGGTCAAGGTTAATGAGCTACCTAACAAAAAATCTATAGAAGAATATTTATTTCTTACTTCAAGAATAAACAGAATCTGGTTTGAACCCTTAACAAATGTTTCCCAGCGACCTGTTAACACAATCTAACTTTTATCTACCTAACATAACCTACCCACCTGAACTAACTATCTAATCTAACCTAACCTAACCTAACCTAACCAAACCCAGCATAACCGGGTACAGTATTATAGTATTTGTGTGCATGGACAGGACAACACTGAAAAGCAGTTGTGTGTGTGTGTTGCCAAACTAATACAGTACAGTACACAATTATGAAAATGGCAAATCCTTTTCTTTTGGGGGAGATTCTTGATGTAAGAAAGAATTTATCATGTATACAAAAATATACTAAAGTTGTTATTTCTTAGTGAGTATAAACCAAAAGTGCTATGTCTTTGAAATGTTCCTGCTCACAAAAACAGTTATATTGCAAACAAGGAGTCAGGTGCCACAAAGCATCTTTATTTACAAGAAAAACTAAGGAAAAATAAAATCCTGTATGAGGTGCGATTCCTCCATCCAATTTGGATTATTCTTGAGGTAAGAAATGTTTTCTTCTATCGAGGTCTTTTGTTAGGTAGTTGGTTAACCAGTACTGTACCTGCCCTCAAATATTACCACTAACCTATCTTTTCTTACCTAATCCAAGCTAAATTAGGTAAGTTAGGTTACTTCATCTTATCATTAATAAATAATATAGTGTAGCAGTATAGCTGGTAAGTTTTGGGAAGATGTTCCTGTGTATGAAATGATCCTGTCAACAATGAAGATATGGTCATCATGTGGACGTAGATAGATTAGTGTTTAGGACGAGATAAACCAAGACAAAAATATGAAAACTGCAAATCCTTGTCATTTTGTGGGATTTTCTGGAGGCAAGAAAACATTTAAACTCTATAGAAAAAGTTCCCAAAGTTCCTGATTAATTTGCGACATTGTTCCAGAGTATTACCCATCAAGGACACCTTTAATTAATTAACAAACCCATTACCGAACTGTTTATGTGTGCAAGGTATTGAGGGGTCCGACTAATTACCCAAATGCAGCCAAATATAGCCGGAATGAAGTCAAATAATGGTCCTAGATGAATAAATCGGACTGCCAATCACTTCTCGACTAGTATTTGGTGTCACAAAGTCACAAAAAATTGGTAAACTTAATTTAATCTGAGTTAATAGATCGAGTGCATGTACCTAACCTAACCTAATCTAATCTAATCTAACCTAACACAACACAAATCAGATTAAATTAAGTTTACCAATTTTTTTTTACTTTATGACACCAAATAATAATCGAGAAGTGATTCACAGCCCGAATTACGCTTGTACGACCATCATTTGACTTCATTGCGGCTACATTTGGGTACATTTGGGTAATTCCTCGCTCAGTAGGTACATGCACGCGATCTATTAACTCAGATTAAAGTAAGTTTTCCAATTTTTTGTGACTTTGTGACACTAAATACTAGTCGAGAAGTGATTGGCAGTCCGATTTATTCATCTAGGACCATTATTTGACTTCATTCCGGCTACATTTGGGTACTTAGTCGGACAGGGTATAGAGGCCTACAGGCTGTTGCATAGACAAAGCTACAAGTCATTTTATCCTTATACCCTCAACATATTTGCAATCTGTGCTTTAGAAGTATAGATACCAAAATTCGTTTTATTTTACTTTCGGACAGAGAGCGCCCCAAAGCTATAAACTACTGAAACATTTAGATCTCCCTATTCTGACCATTTTAACCCCATTTTTACCATTCGGAAATGGAAAATAGCGACAATTGAATTTAAGTACTTTTCAGTCTTCTTCTGTGAAGAGTTATCTGTGTGAAACCGATTTAATTATTGTTAGGGGATCAGGGTGGGGCAAATAAGAGCAATTTCTGAGAAAAATGAAGGTCAGATTTCTTTAAAACACACCAAAATACCCTGCAAAAACATATTGGTCAACAACTAGGGACTCATGTCCGAAAGTAAAAAATTACCTCAAAATAATACCAATCTTTATTATGTAAGCAATCCTAAAAGACACCTTGATTAACATTACCTGTTTGTGTTCGCTAAGCATACAGTATAATACTATGATAACATTAGCATCATGCATAAAGTAATTTATTTTGTCTTAGCTGTGGTTACCTTACTTGAGCAAAATTTATGAGAGCCAGATCTAGGTGTACAGTACAGCCACTTCCTAAAATATAAAATGCGTACCAAGTCTTAAGACCATGAACCACATAACACTCAAGGACGCAGCGCAAGAAACACTTCTCCAAAAATTTCTTCCTTGTCAACATAATTATTTGTCCACCGATTATTACACCAGTTCTCGGTATTCTATATAATTATATACTTCTTAATTCAATAGTGAAATATAAAAATACATAATAATGTTCCCATCAAATGATATAATGCAGTGTCATAACAACACCTTCACTCCTCCCTTAACACACGAGGCTGCTGGTGCTGTGTTCGGGACTCGGGTAAGAGGGGCGGCCCAAAGGTTATACCATTTAAGAATAAAACAACACGGGCTACGTTCTAATTTCTTTAGTAAAATTAGATTGAATTTTGGATATATGTTAGGTTAATTTGTCACAATCTAATGTTTCGCGGTAATAACTTTAAAGTATGATGCAATAGTGATCAAGCAAATTGTGTAATTGTCAGAGCTAACTACAATACTTTGAAGTAAGCATTGTGAACTGTCAAAAATCAAGGTTCATACTGAGTCCTGGCTCTGATAGTGTGAATAAGTATTAGTTGTGAAGCGAGCTTGTAGAGTCCTTTAAAATTTGCAGATGCAAGGATGAGCAAAAGGTCCACCGCCCAAAGTAAAATAACATACACGAGTCCTATATTAAAATAGGGCGATCCCCCCTTCACAAACAACTATATGCTAAACTATATACCTGAATTGAGTCTTAACTAAATATATGCTTAGCCAACAATTGTAAACTTGTATGACGATTTTGCTAAATAGTGTAGCGTAGTGTATGTGGCCAGTTGTCTAATTTCTCTTTGTTAGGCTCACTTTTACTATTAATTTTACACTCTTTACCACTGATCGGCTCGTTAGCCGCTTGGGCGATCGGTCACGCCTCTGTTACACACTGTTGGCAAGTACTGGGCATGCACTGACTTATGAATATACCTGAACCTGCTCCAGTGTTGGTCAAGTCTGGTCTTGAAAGAGCTCACACTATGTGCCGTAACAACACTTTCTGGTAGATTGTTCCAAGCGTTCACAAATCTCACTCCGAAAAAGTTTGCCCTCACAGGTTTCTGGACCTGCGGCTTCTTCAATCTTGAGCTGTGACCCCTTGTGGGACGAGCGTCCGCCAGCTCCAAGTAAGGACACTCGACTGAGTAGTGCCGCTTGAGATGCTTATACACCTCAATCAGGTCGCCCCTTGCCCGTCTGTAGTATAAGCTAGGCAAGTTCAGGCGCTCCAATCTCTCAGGGTAGTTGAAGTGCCGAAGTGCAGGCACCAGTCTGGTGGCCCCCCTTTTAACATTTTCAACCACCTGACACTCCCTAGCATATCTCGGGGACCAGACTGAGTGACAGTGTGGGGTACGAGTTGTTTTGGTTCACACTCAGGATGGGATGGTGAAAGGAAACTCACAATGTGCTCTCTGTATACATGTTGTATTGGATGTACAATGCAGCTTGGTGCTGGGAAGGCAGCATGGTAACAAGCGTTGAGTAGAGAGAGCTGGTTGGTGAGGGTGCTCAGAGGACTAGCTTGTGGGTCGCCATGGTCGCTGGCGGGAGCGAGGGCCGCCTGGCAGGAGGAGGAGGAGGAGGTGTTGCTTGCTGGTTGGTGTAGGTAGTAAGAGACAGGTCACCACGAGGTCACGTCTTATATAGCGGAGGTAGGCGTGGCTTAATAGTTGACCTCTGTCATGTAAGGCGGCGATGGTTGACCTAGATCACGAGGCATACACTGGGGAATTCGCGGGGTCGACTACTCAGCGACAAACAGCGTTTGTAGGGGAGGAATCCACTACAACAGTACTCCAGATGGGGAACCACTTCACTCTTGAAGATCGTTACTAGGGACGGACCGTCTAGATATCTGAACGACCTTATAAGACCCAATAATTTATTTGCTTGAATTCCATTTTTCTCGCAATGGCCCGAGAACTTCAGCTCATTATCAACATACACACCTAGGTTTCTTCATCCCGTTGGGACATATGATACGCCTCCTTACCGTTGGTAAGCCCCAGGTGCATCCACTTACACTTCGTGACATTGAATCTCAGCAGCCATTTCTTCAACCATTCTCAGAGCTCACAGAGTTCCTTCTGCAGCTCTTTACAGTCCTCATGGTTCTTGATTTCCCGATATAACTTAGCGTCATCGGCAAACATTTGTATGGAGGAGTGTACAACGTCAGGCATGTCATTTATGAAACAAACAAACAACAGTTGGCCCAATACACTGTCCTGTGGTACCCCGCTTGCAACAAGTACAGATGATGATTTCGTGCCATTACTG